ACTCATAATCTTTCTAATGTATCTTGCTGACATATTCAAATGTCAGTGACATTAATATATTGACCTTGTTTCCAGCAATCTCATTTGCTAGTCCTTATATGCAATGCATAGATTCCCTTTGATATGCTGGGTAGATAATAGTCATAATATTGTAAATAACAACATCTTTATTCTTCAGTTCCAACCTTTTTATTCTTTTTTAAATTATTATGCTGATTATCCAGTAAAATGTTGAATAGGATTGGTAATTACGGAACACACTTGTTTCAAAACTTCTTTCACTATATTTTACCAATCTCTGACTTTAGCCCAACTTCAAAATGAACTATTTCCTTATATCCTACTAAGCAAAAATAGGTCTCCCAGCCCCTACTGACCCAGACTTCCCCACACAGTGATAAACTCATTCACCCAAACTCATTCAGCCACTTCCACTTAAGAAAATTGTCCAGCCATCCATAGGACTTTTATTTGGGTGATCCACTATTCTCTCTGGTGTAATGTGTCTGAAGTGATTCAAAACCTGCTCTTCTCTCTGTGTATCTATATTCTTCACATGCAGGACCATTCATCCAAGGTCAACAGACAGAAACCTATATTCTTCCCTCAATCACCACTAATGATTGGTTTGGGTCCCCAGTATCTTCCACATTAATTATAGTTACAATTCCTTCATTAGTCTCCCACTTTTGGTTTCATTTCCCACCTACCATTTTTCTCACTGCTGCCAAGTTTATCTTTCTACAGTGCACTTTTGCCTCACCCAACTTAAAATGCTTCATTGGCTCCTCATTGTCTATTGTATGAAGCCTTAGTTCTCCAGCTGGTCAGACAAGGCCTTTTATTCACCTTAGCTAGATCTCTATCATACTAGTCTAGCAAAACTGAAGCACTTATAGTTCAGCTGTGCTGTTCCTTGGTGCCGTGATTTTTTTTTTTTTTGCATGCTGATCTCTCTCTTCTTGGATTGCTTACAAAGTAAGACTCATTTTCAAACCCAGATCAGATGCTACTTCCTCTAGGAACTATTGATAAAGAGCTAAACACATATTTATTGAGTGTTATTTATTATGTCAGGTACTATACAAATGCAGGGCATATAAAAATACATAAGACATAGTCCAAGTCTGCTAGCATTAGTTAACTATTCTCATTTCTTGCCTTCCATTAGTCTTAAGTGCCTGGTGCATGATTTTAACTTACATGATTCTTCACTTTCTTGTGGGTCTAACAAATAATTTCCATTTTTGCTCAATACACTCAGAAATGAGTGAATATTACATTCTTTAAATACAAAGGCATATGCCCAGTACTCAGAAACCACACAGTATTCAGCAACATTCATGGATTAAGTTTCAACTAAGAAGTATAATAATAAATAATGAGATCACAGCACAGTACTGGTAGTCAGTCTCTGGCTCAGTCAACACACAGAAGCATAGTATAGACAGGGTGGTGATTAAGGGTACCTCAGCAGACAGACTGCCTAAGTTTGCATCTCAGCTCTGCTGCCAATAAACTTAGGAAATTTGGATAAGTTACTAAAACTTTGTGCCTAAGTTTCTCCTTTATAAAATAAGGACAATGATAGCTCACTGCCTAACAATGTTGTTGAGAGGATTCATACAAAAAATGGTTGTTATTATTATTAATTTGTATATGAGAATAGTTATCTCTCACTATCAGCTGGTCAAGCAATTTTTTTTTTTTTACTTCTATGTCTAGCAATGAGACAACTGTCTGTTGTTCTGAGCCAAATAAATACTCTTACTTAATCTTGATTGAACTAATGGCAATGTTGGAAGAATAACTGACTCAAGAGAGTTTAAGGCTTGGAATTGGGATTTCCTTTATGTAGAGCTGAATGATACAAGTGGAAAAACCTATATTAACATACACTGATAGAGTTGGCCAGCTATGAACACAGATTGAGACACACAGAGGTAAGGGTCAATGGTATGATAGCTAAGCTGGAATCAGACTGTCTCACCTAGACTCAGTACTCCACCTCTGACTAGCTTTGTGATCTTGGGCAAGTTATCTCTTTGTCATCTCAGTTTTCACATCTATAATAACAGCCCTTTCAGCATAAGTTCTATTGTGGGAATTTGATGAGCTAATGCATGCGAAGCTCTAAGCTTACTGCATGGCACATGGTGCATAATAATTGTGAAGAATAAAGATGCACATAGTAGACAGAGAGCAGATTGAAATAAAATTAACCTAAGTGTTCACCAAGAAAAGCCACAGAGGTATTCAACTGAATAATTCAACTGAGTAATTCCTAAGAGAAAAATAAGGCAATTCTAGTACTTGATTAAAGTCATTTTGTTTATTTCTACCTAATTTTCCAACTTATCTCAATTATGTTTGGTTTAGAACACCAGAATTTCACAAAATGTGTTCTATAGAACATCTGCCCTAAAATATCTGTAAGAAAAGGGTTTTGAGTGATGCTGCATGCCATATTCCCTTGGAGATTCAAACATTCAGTAACACTCCAAGGGTTTAGTAAGTCCTGAAATTTTGATTCATTTAGTTTAATCCAGCTTTTCTCAAATTGATTTGACCTTAAAGCACTTTTTAAAATAAACTCTTAAAATTCCATGAAATTACCATTCCATGGAACAAACATGGAGAAATAATTGCTTGATGGGTATCAGAGTGGCATTTATATCAAAGCAGGGACTGAAGGGTATGGGAAGTAAGTGGGAGAAGGAGAAGGCTCAACATCACAGACATCCAAACAAATACAATGTTCCTGGGTTTATGTGCAGAATCCCCCCAGGGGGTTAAACCAGCCCCCCCACCCCACACACTGCCCTCCTCCTGCTGCTGCTGTGCTGGGATCCTATCATGGCAGATCTAAAGTCTCTTACACATACTTGACCATCTGCTTTTGGCCACACACTTCCTGAATTTACTTCCTATTTTCTGGGAGAGACAACAAGAAAAACATTTAAAGTGAAGAGACCTATTGTGGGAACCAGAGACAGACCCAGGAGTGGGGGTGGGGGAGGAGGGGTGAGTTGAGACTTTGAGTCAGATCCAGGACAAGCATGTCCCTCTGAATGGAGCTGAGATGAAAGACACCAGCAGCACCAATAAAGAGGACCTTCACAGCAGAGCAGGGCAGGAAATGTGCTTAGGAGAAGTAATAGTGATTTCTAAAGTAGTGACCAGAGGGGAGCCTCCTGAAACTCTGTTTAACATATTTTTATAATTCTATTCTTAAAAAAAAAAAAAAGGTTATGGGAGTGGTTGTGTTTGTTACAAAGGGGGAGCAGAGTCAATGAGAAAGCACTGATAGGTATTTAAAATGCTTGCTCTCCTAGTGTTAACCTCACTGTTGTTTGATTATATTCCCCTAGTGCTGTGTTACCTTCAACCTGGACTGAATCTGAGCTTCCCTTGATTTATCAGGGAAGCCGTGTGACTGTTACACAGTAACTTTGGAAAGCCATGATTAAAAACAGGGTCATTTCTTTTATGGAGACCAGTCAGTGGCCACCCAGGCTTCTGTGAACTCAAACTTCTTATGTGAGAAAATGATGAAAGGTTAGCCAGGGCTTCTTTCTCTAGGGCTGATCATCTCCTAAGTCTTCATGTTGCTTGTGTTGCTGGATGTTTAATTCAACATGTATGATGCTTTAAGACATAATACCCAAAGATATATTAATGACATATTGCCTGGAGGTTTATTGACTAGGTATGACTTGCATTAAATAGAGCTCAAAGAGGAACAAGGAATGGGAAGCAAATTATTTTATAATATCTTAATCAAAATTTGAAAGTAATATTCAATGTCTCTTTGATGGTCATTTTGTCATCTTTTTTGTTTCTGTATTTATTCCTTTTTTGGTGATTCAGAAAGTTTCAAATTCCTAACTGTAGCAGTATTTTCTTCAAAGATCTTGGAATACAATTTTTATGGTCAGTAGTTCTCCAAATGGTGGCTTTCTTTCTACTCTGAAGACTTATGAAAAAGAGAAATAAACTAATATATCAGTGTTCTCTCAAAAAAAAAAATAAAATAAAATGCTTGCTCTCTACTTTCATCAACCAGAGTTATCTGTGATTTTGCAAGTTAATGTTGTTGTTTGGTTGGTTCCCAAAGGCAAGTTTGCCTTTCTCCCCTTTGCATTTCCTGTGGGTCCCTACTAGGAAGAGAGACTGAGATTCCATCCTAGGTGGCCTGCGGTAAAGAGACCTAGTTGTCTTTGTAAGTTCAATAGTCAAAACCCTGACCTTGGGAGAGCAGCAGAGAGCAAGGAAGGATGCGGGCGGGGGCGGGGCGGGGGCACATTCGTGATGCCTACCTATGGATGGTGGGAGAGGGCTGTTTTATTAAAGTTTCATTACATTTTTTCTACTTTTTCTATAATGAGCTTCTGTTAATTTTACAATCGTGGAAAATTGTTTATGTCTGTGGTTCACACCTCACTTTCTAAGATCTTTAGTTTCCAGAAAACTTGAATATACATCCCACATAAATTTCATTAGTGTTTGTGTCGCGGGGAGAAAGTTTTCTAAGCATAGAGGAGGGGACGGAAATATAACACAGGAAACACACCCTAGAAAGTTTTATCCACATAATTCTAGAAAGACAGGGGAGAAGTTTGCAAGATGTGAGACTGCTGATGAAAGTCTGGAGGAAAATGGCAACGTTCTGCAAGGCGGGCGGGGCCAGTGGCAGGAGAAGTCTTCGGTGGGAAGGAGAGTCACCAGGCAGCCTGCGGCGCCGGAGGTGTGTGGGTGGGGGCGCCAGGTAGGGCAGGTGCCCGAGGTCCTCCGGGAGCCGGGGGCGGAGCAGGAAACCGCTGCCTGGCCAGGTGCAGGGCGGAGCCTCCGGGAGCGCCGCAGGTGCGGATGAGCGGGTGTCACCTGCCGGGTGACCAGAGCCTGCCCTCCCACCGAGCGGCGCCTGGTGAGGGGAAACCCGAGGGGATTCTTTGGAGATGAGCGTCCTGGGCGGCGGCCGATGAAGAAAGACACAGAGTCCTGAAACCCCTGAGCTGAAAGGGCCAGAAAGGAGTCAGCATGGGCTCAGAGCTGCCTCCGTCTTGGCTGCTACTCTTCACCTGGCTCCCAGCAGGTGAGCCGTGGAAAAATGGGACCCACTCTGGGCCCAGGGAGACAGGAAGCCATTGCTTGGCCTTGCAGAACTGGCCACCAGCAAGCAGTGGAAGCCTGGACTGCGCTCTGGCGGTGCTCCGCGCAGGGACTGGATCGAGTTTCTGCCTGTAGCAACCTGTTGTTTTCCTCTTTTATTAGCCCAGGTCCTTCCAAAAGAAATCCAGAGCATTTGGACTTTCCCTCCAGATCTATTCTTGATCTTTAAAGCTAAAGTGATAAGAGGGAAAAAAGCATCATTCCTAAAATTCCTAATTACTTTCCCCGTTCATCTGGTACTTGCTTTTTGGTTATAGATATACTAGCGACCATATTGGCCCAGAAGTGCATTTCATCAGCATATGAAGGAATGTTTGACAGAATCCTATTTTGTAGGACCCCAACATGTGCCTTTTTGCTAACAGTGTTCAGTGCCACTTTCCTACTCTGTAACCACTCACTTCCTTAACTTTACCCCTGCTTGTTAACTCTCCTTCAGGTGCCCAGCCACCTACTGTCTCAGCTTCAACCTCCACACTAACTCCCTCTCTACTTTGGAAAGCATGATTTTGAGTGTCTGGGTATGGCTCTGGAAATAGAATTGAAGCATGCACCAGGTAGGAAAGGGTAGCTGGGTGACAGAATGTGCAGGCTTTTCTGGTCTTTTTCAAATTTAGGTGTAGGTGTGACTTTGCGAACAAGAATTATAAGTTCCCTTGGAAGTTCCACCCTGTTTTATATCATTTTACCTTTTTCCCCTACCACTTATCTTTAAGTTGTCAGTGGAAGTTTAGCTCGGAATTTGCTCATAGACCAATATGAGTATGGTATGTTTTTTGAGGGGAAAGAAAGATGTAATATGGCCATGTAGGCAGAATTTCCTTTTTATAGGATTGATAGGACAGAAGCTGTGCTCAGGAGTAACCAAATCTCACCCAGACAGGATTCTACAATAACTTAAACTTAATGCTAAGAATAAAAGCAAGGGAGGGTTGGGAGAGGGTAAGAAAAACAGAAAGTTAGTATTGCCAAGGCCCTCTGGCTTACAAGGTTTTCTGGAGAATATAGTTCTTATAAATTGTCTGATACTCACTAGACAAGATATTGGACACCCACAGTGCTTAAGAAAATGGGCTAAACCTCACCTAGATTTAAGTACCCAAAATTCCACTAGAGCAGTCACCAACTTAGACTGTGAATGCAAATTCAGAAAAATCCACAGCTCACAGTCTTTTCTCAGTGCTCTGCATGTTCATCTCAAACTCCACAAATCTGGGGTCTTCAGAAGTTATCTGAGCTCTCTTTTCAGAGAAATAGAGGTCTGCTCTCACCTTCCACTGGGAATCTCATTCTCACAGTTAGGATTTTAGAAACAGCAGTTACCTGGGTCAATAAAACAAGAAAAGAAGTCTTACAGATGAAAATCCCTGTAGGGTATTAACCCAGTCCTTAAATCATCAGCATAATGTTTTAAAAAGCTATCTAACTCTAATGAACAATATTGAACACTGAACATTTTTCAAATACAGTGATTATAACCAAAGAGTATATTCTTAGAGTAACCAGCTTGCTAAATGGTCAGGGACTTAAAATCTCTGTGCACCTGCCACAAGGTATTAGTAGCTCAGACACTGAAGTAGTACAATTACACAGACTGCTGTATTTGCCTGATGTGCCTTAAAAGGAAGCCTGTCTGCATGATATGTTTTAGAAAAAGAGAGTGCCAAAAGAAAGGAAGTCCTAAAATGAACATCTAAGTCCACTTTCATTTCATAAATGAGAATTTAAGATTTCAACTTTAACTCCAACATTTTGAGGGGAAATAGCTATTTTGGCAGATATTTTCCCTGAATATAAATATATATATATGAATGTAAATAAAACTACACTCATCTATTTAATGTGGTTTTCCATCAGTAATGTTTATGTGACTCTCTGGGCAATTTACAAAATTATTCAAGGTTCCAGTAAACAGTGATGACAATAGCATATGAAAGGTTTTTGTGATGTGTAATTAAAATGAAATTTTAAGGCACTTTGTTCAGTGCCTACACAAAGCAAGAATAATAAATATCAGTCTGGTGATAATAGTAGACTCGATTTAGGACCAAGTAGGGTTGTTTAAATCTAATGTTAAAGAAATTAACTCCTCCTTCCCCTGTGGCTAAGAAAATGAACAGAGAGATGACTCTGTTTTTCAGCTTTTCATCACTGTTACAAAATAACTAAGATAATCAACTTAAAAAATAGGAAAGACTAGGCACAGTGGTGCATGCCTGCCTGTAATCCCAGTGGCTTGGGAGGCTGAGGCAGCAGGATTGCAAGTTCAAAGCCAGCCTCAGCCATTTAGTGAGATCCTAAAGCAAGTGAGACCCTGTCTCTAAATAAAATACAAAAAAAAAGGCTAGGAATATGGCTCAGTAGTTAAGCACCACTGGGTTCAATCCCTGGTACAAAAAAAAAAAAAGGAAAGTTTCATTTTGGTTCATAGTTTTGTAGGTTTCAGTCATAGTTGGCCCCCTTGCTTTGGAGCCTGTGACAAGGCAACACACCATGGTGGGAATGCTTGGTGAAAGAAGCTGCTCACCACATGCAGTCAGGAGCAAAGAGAGAAAGAGAAAGAGATCTGGGTCCCAATAACCCCTCAGGGGCATACCCCAAGTGACCTAAGACCTCCCACTAGGCCCTACCTCTTAAAAGTTCCATCACCTCCCAATGGCACCAAGCTGGGACAAAGCCTTTAATCTAGGCCTTTGGTGACACTGCAGATCCAAATGGTAGTTGCCACAGTCTGGCTGGGCACAAATGCCGCAGTCTGGCTGGGCACACAATCACGAGCCACCACACAGCTTGTAGATTCAAACAGCAACTCTTTATTCCCGAACTCACACCAGCCGTCTACAAACACGTTCTGGGGAAATCCACGTTCTCTGCCCAAATCCACGTTCTCTGCCCAAATCCACGTTCTCTGGGCTTCTATCTCCAAAAAATATACTGTCTGAATCCCGTGAGAACTCAAGGGGAACTCAGGCAGCAGGATTACATAGTCCAGGCAAGTTCTGCAAGCAGTTCAAAGTGGAGGAATCTATCAATATGTCCATTTCCTCCCAAAATCCGTCTCCTCCCAAAGTAAGTTGACTCCTCGATTGAGCATTACTTGTTGAGTTATATTCATTGATGCATCAGTTTATACAGCTTACTGTGATAGCTATCATAGAAGCTGTCTTCACCGGCACTGGGATGGAGATGGGAATTCTGGCAATGATGCTGAAAAGACATTATCCTGAAAAGAATTATTAAATATAATGAAAAGGAAAGGTGAAAGTAAACAAACAGATCTGTTATCCTACTTTAAAAACAATCCTTAACAGCTGTTTACCTAATTTAAATTAGTAAACAAACAGATCTGTTAACCACCTTTAAAAACAATCTTTAACAGCTGTTTACCTAATTTAAATTAAACCATTTAAATCACGTGAATAAAAATAATAATAATTCGGATCCATTTTTTCATGAGCGCTCCTCATATAAGAAATATGGACATACGCACATACAGACATACAACACAAAACACAAGAGTGTACACAAACGTACAACACATAAGAAAATAGTAAAGGCCTTGTAGCTTTACCTAGGTGAAATCTCCATTGCAATGTTTAAAAACTCCACAGTCAAAAAATAAAACTGATCAGAAAAACATTAACCTAGGTTTGTATGAGCTCAAAAAATAAAAATAGAACCTTATGATGTGGAAAAATGCAATAATAAAATAGCTATTGAAAAAAGCATCCTGGTTAATCACTGTCGCAGATGTAAGAATGGCCAAGCTGGAGTTCTGGATATCAGCTGTTATGGATTTGAGTCAAATCATCTTCTTTTCGATCTGTAGAGACTGTTTTAGTTAATCTCTCTGGAATCCAAATGGGCTGCTGTTCTCCCTGTGGAAAAACACAAACAGACCCCCGACTCCAGACAATCACTGGGTCAGGACCTTTCCATTGTCCTGTTAGAATATCTTTCCAAAGTACTTTAGGCTTATGTACATTTTTTGGATACATATGTCTTTCTGCAGCACTAAGTCCTCATGAATCCAAATTTAAAAAGTTTAGAGTAAAAAGCGTTATTTTAAGTTTATCTTTGAGGGATATATACCCCTTTCCAATTCCCTCTTTTTGCTTTAATAAGTATATGTCTGTATCTAATAGTTGTCTTAGCTTCTTGCATTTTCTATCTGAAATACCTTTACTTGACATTTTCAATCTTATTTCTATCTTCTAGTTTTTTTCTAAGGTTTGTATATTTACCCTTAGTTGCTTATTTTCCTCCTAGTTTGTTTTTGTTTTCTATTTTGTGGGTTTAAAATTATTGTCTCCCTACATCTTTTTTATCTTTCTACATCTTCTTTATCTTTTCTCTTTTTAACTTTCTATACTTCAGTCTTTAAAGTTTTTCACTTTAAATTTTTAATCTTCTTCATCTAAATATCTTTTATCCTATTATCTTCCCATCCCATTTTTTTTAAGTAATGCCTTTACGATTAACTAGGCTTCGAATGACCCAATCTTTCCTCCGTCATGAAGGCATTTTAACCACCTTCAATTTAACCTTTTAAAGCCTTCCAATTATCATCTATACTGTACTTTTAAATGTACTTTTTCACCACCTACAACTTCACTCTTTTAAACGAGGCTTAGATTCTGTTTAAATCTCTTTAATGTTAGTTTACATGGCTGCCCTTCAACCAAAGGCTTTTTTTTTTTTTGCCTGAGTTCCCCTTGAGTTCTCACGGGATTCAGACAGTATTTTTTGGGAGACAGAAGCCCAGTGGAGGTGAATTTGGGCAGAGAACGTGGATTTGGGCAGAGAACGTGGATTTCCCCAGAACGTGATTGTAGACGGCTGGTGTGAGTTCGGGAATAAAGAGTTGCTGTTTGAATCTACAAGCTGTGTGGTGGCTCGTGATTGTGTGCCCAGCCAGACTGC